TAGGAATAAACCCCCAGAAATACCAGGAGGTATAAGGACCACTCTGTTGGAAGAATTTGTTCCAAATGAAACAGGCAATCCACCACTAAATTCAAAGCTCTCAGAACATGAAAGGCTAACGACCAGATGCTGTTGACATGAACCCAAGAAAGAAGAGCTACCAAAAATGAGAAATACCCTGTTGGTTGATATAAGAAACAAGAGTAGAGTTATTGAAACAGATCAAAACAGGATGTACAAACAGCTGTAACAAAAGATGTAGGCAGGCCCATTGAACTGCTCACATGTCAAGAAAATTAATGTGAAATTACCACTCCTCAGATGAGACCAAACATCAAAAAATGTGTTGGTATTCAGAAACATACCCCACGCAGCTAGAGAGGGATCCATGAATAATTGTAAGTCCAGGCAGGGTGAAGGAATATTGATGCTCAGAGTTATGTGGGAACATTCGAGCCATCACGACAGCTAAAGAGATGGAGGTAGAGAAACAAGGGTAGACAGTGGATCACAGGGTATATTCGACTGATCTACCAGAATCCACTGAATGAGACACACATCACTCCAGAGGAAGAAGGACACAAAAAATGAGAGAATTCCCAAAAGATATAGAACCTCATGTATTGGAAGAAAAGGAGACAATGAGAGCCTTAGAAACCAGAAACTCCAAATCTTGAAAATTAAAAAAAAGGAATATCAGCCCACCCAGCATATGAAGGTGGTAAAGACTCCCAAATTAATTGGCAACAAAATGAGAGTCATTAATGATTTAGGAGCTTGACCAAACAACCCAAATTAGTAGACTCCAAAGGAGAAGATAGGTTATAGCAGATGATGCCTCCCGGGACAGGGCTAGGAAATGCCTAAATTCCCGATGGTGGTGGAAATGTGTACCCAATGAGAGTATTCTCTGTGTGAAGTCATCAGAACAGAGATGAAAACAGACAAATGTGAGCCCCTAAAGACAAGGAAAACTTCTGAATGAAAAATTGTGCAACCTAAGGCTTTTCTGCAAAGTGAGTCCAAATGTGGAAAAAGTGTAAGAGTCAAGCTCCCACATGATAAAAGCTGAGAGCTGGTTTTAGAAACAACTGATCACTGAACCCCAGGATGGCTGGCCTCTCGAGAAAGGAGAGACACTGGGAAGGGGCTACAACATAAAGAACTGCCCAAAAACAGATGCATGAAGGAAGGGTGCCAAATGGAGTTCCTTGAGATAAAACTAAGGTGTCTATTCTGGAAAATAAGGAATCCTGATAAACCAAAACAAAGAAACAAGTGAGCTGGGTAACAGCTGAAGAAGAAAATATGGTAGCCTGAAGAAATAGTTAGTACGACCTTCTCCAATAAAGCTGTCTGGGTACAGGTGGATAGCTGTGAAGGGAAAGGATAAAGAGGGCAATGAACTAAGAAGATAAATAAACAAAAAGATGAATAAATTGAAGATAAAAGAGAGTCATAGTAGGAAAAGAAGAAGATCTTGAAGCTGGGAGAAGATATTCAAGGGATAGGACACTAGAAAAGAGGAAGAATTCCAAGCACAGGAGTCATAAATTTTGGAAAGACATGGAAACTTGGAGTCAATACAGGTGAGCGAGGAAGAGAGAAAAAAATCTTTGAGTAGAAGTGCATCTAAGAAGCTTGCCCAAGAATCAGCAGGAACAATTAGAACATATGTCACATGCCAGAGTTATCAGGACAAAAGTAAGTGTTACCTGATCTTTTCCAGCAATAAAAGAACCAGAAGCAAAGGTAGATTATGGTAAGAGTCAAAGTCATCCAAAAAAAAGGCAGGTTCAGTAGAAGTTACAGAAGCAGGAGGCTATGAGACCTATATTCAAGATGAATAATGTAGGATAGAATCAACAACATGATGTTTAGTGGTGGAAACATTGCTCACCGATAGAATAACACAATTTCTGTGGGAAGATTCAGTAACATCCACATAAAACTGAATTCGTAGAAAGTATTAATATTGTTATGATATATGCAGATTTTTTTTTCTTTATATTTGGTATGTCCATAACACTTAGGCCTTGGTCATTTTCCTTTGGATGAAATTGAGATTATCAGCTTCTGCCAAAACTCGAATACTCATAGTTTGATTAAAAGAAAAATTCAAAGTAACATAAGAAAATATAATTATTTGTATCACAAGCTGTAACTTAAACTAATTTTAAAATTTCTATCTTTTTTGAAATAAAAAAATTGAAGTTAAATTTTAAATATTCATTAAAATTTCAAAATTCCATAATTTTTAATAAAAAAGAGAACATTACTGAACAGTGCAGTGCTAAGGAAAAGAATGAGCTTTTGGTATGCATAAAGTGCTGAAGGGAAGTACTGCATATGGAGGATGTGTTGCCCTCCTATAGGTAGAGGGCTATAGTGTAATGCTGATTTCATCATAGACATAGGCATTACACATTATTATGTGGAGATTTGGGAGTTTCATTCAAAGGCTTGGCACATGAGCAAAGATTATGTCAGTGGTTTAAGGTATTAGTTATATGTTCTGTAGAGAGGTGAATAGTGATTCTGAACATTAAGGCTGTTTATACATTAGGCTGTATTGGCCTAAATAACTGCTTGAATGAACAAAGAAAATAATATTAAAAATGTGTGTATGTATGTGTGTGTGTGTATACATATGAGAGAGTAAAAAACTGGTTTAAAACATATTACATATAATAAATGAAACCATCAAGTTAACAGTATAAAAAAGAAGTTAGCTTGCATATAATTTTGGAATGATAAAAAGTTACTTTTAATGAGCACTAATGATTGTAACCACAGTGAAACTGAATTTGGTGTTTTTTAAATGAAAACAAAGATAAAATTTAAAGTTGTATAAAATAAAACTTTATAAGAAAGTTTTACAAGCATGTAGGAAGACATAAAATCAGTTATCAAAATGTACAACAAAGGTAAGCATTTCTTATTGTTTAAAAAGAAAAGTTTGAGCGTTTTTAAATGTTCAAAGCTGTAAATTTATAGAAATAAAAATATGATATTTTATTTGCAAAAGTTACATAAACTGCAGAAGATTTTTCTAAATTTTTAGACTATTTCATTCAATAGTTTTTCTTGCAATGCTATGAAACAAACCATAGAAAAGATGCACTGAAATGACACACCCAGGTATGAGAGAGTTAAGGTAAACTGGTAGTTCATAACTGTATTTACTGGTCTTGGACCAGAGGATCAGCATTAATTTCAGTGGTTTATCAGAGTATTTTACATACATTTAAGAAATAATAGATGATTTAGATGTATTATCTTGTAATGAGTACCTACAGCAGACCAATAAAGATTGTATTGATGTTAGATAGTAGTTATTCTTAAAATTACAGTTACAAACTTAGAGAAAATAAAGTATATATATTTCTATATAACAGCTGACCAGCCTGAACAAAGGGCTCCAGGCAGAGAAATCTTCACGAAGTGACCTAGAGATGTATGTGGCGGTGTTGAACACGCAAAAAGAAGTCATGCAGGAAGACATGGATCATGTCAGAAAAGAATTGCAGGAAGGTAAACATATTCAAGAGTGTTTTAAGAAGCTGAAATTATATCATTAGATGGAAAGTTTCTACAATGAGTTTGTATTTATGAATATCAACTGTTACATTTGTCATCAACTCACACCAACAAATGCTCATTATAATCCTATGCTGTTACACTGGTTCATCAGTTTCATATGTGTTTGCAGTATGTCAGTTGCTAGAGCAAGAGAAGAAAGAACATGCTGCACTAAAGAGGACATGGCAAATGGCTAATGATCAATTTCTGGAAGCCCAAAGATTGCAAATCTCGGACATGAGACGAATGCAGAGTGTACTGACAGCAGAGCAGCTTCGCCAGGTGACAGAACTGCAACGGAAGGATGAAGAGCGGATGGAGCAAGAAAAAAAAATAGCCAGACTTCAGCAGATGAATGTGGATCCTGACAAGAGCAGTGAAGGTTGGTTAAGAGGATATTAATTTATTTTGTTTTGATGCTTTCAAAATAAAGATGTTTCTTTTGGAATTATTTTTTGAATCTTTTTTGAAATACTTATCCAAATTAAGCCTTGATCAGTTTTAACATTTGAGTTGAAATGCTATAGCCATGCTATAAATTGCTGACAAGTCTGTGTATACCAGTTTTTGCTTTTTAAAGGACTGGTGTTTTTATACATCAACTTATAAGATAAAAATATTGTTTTGATGTGCAGTTCCTATTTTCTTTCACCACCATTTTACACATCAAATGAAACATTGTTATGTAAACAGTTCAAATGATAAAAGAGAACCTCCCTGTTGAACATTACATCCAAGTGTACATTAGAATGTCACTGCCTACCAACCAAGAGCAAAATCAAGAAACCCAGTGATAAACAGTGAAGTTGTGTTTAATATATTGAATTGAAGATCATATACACATCTAATATCTTAAGCCATTATTAAATGGTACTGACTTTAGAAAATATAATAAACTCACTGTTGACTCAGATTATGTAAAAAAATCAGTTTCTAGCCAATAAAGATTTTTAATGGAGTTACTATAAAAAAAGAGTTTTATTCATTTATGATAAGTCAGGTAACAAAAAACTTGTTAATATTTTGAAAAAGAAATATGGCTACAAATATTTTTAAACATTGTTTAATATATATATATGCTGCTATTAAATCTTTTTCATATATGTAAACAAATACCAAACTATGTTCCTTAGAAACTGCAGATCAGAAGTTTATTAGAACTATTCTTTCAGATCATTTCAGTCTTTTTTTATATTTTTGTTTACTGAATGTAGCTTCAGAATTGGTTTAAAATTACCCATATCATGTAACTAAATACAAATTAGAGGAAGAGAACACATTAAAAATGTAGATGTAAGAATAAAAGAGTAAATTTCTTCATTGAAAAAATCATAAACAGTCAATCAGGGTAATGATGTTAAAATTAAGGAACATACAAGTTAATCAGTTTTTGGTCTTAAAAGGTTTTTCTTCAATGGTGAACAATTTACATTTAGATTAATACTAAAAACCATTTTACAGCAAATTATTTCCAAAACATACATACCTCCAATGCCACTTATAGCTATTACTTAACCACCAGGATTTCTTCTTTGCTCATCTAATCATTAGTCTGATTTTTTCATGCTTGCTCCAGTCTTTTATACCCCACTCAATTGCCCTTGGTGATAACTGTCTTGTGGTACTCTCCACCTACTTCAATGCTCCCTCTATCCTGGTGCTGTATATAAACACCTCATTCAGATAATTTTATCACTTTATCTCGAGAAAGCATCAGTAACAGGATTCCCAGTATTACAGTCAATCGTGGATACTTTGAATGTTGTCATGTTGTCTAATTGATTTTGTAACAATAATAATAATTAAAAGAACATTTTTTTTTCCTCTTTCTGATTGACAAGCTGGTTCTTGGGTCACAATTGTTCATTCAGTTCACATCTTCCCCACTATTATCCACCCAACCTGTAGGGTTTCCGTCTCCTACAGTTCATCGGGCTTTGGAACTTAGTTCTAGGGTTATCTGAGTCTGGTTGGTCTGAGGGTAGTGAGAGAGTTCGGTTAGTTCTTCAGAGATTTTATTCCTGTTAGTTGTTGGGCCTATAAAGACAGGAGATTGGTGTCTAGTGATTGATCTTCCTTGTCTACAACAATGCCTAGATTCTCCAAGGTTCTCAAGTTAATCATTCCTCAATCTGTGTTGATTTTTTTACTGGGATTGTAGATGTTCAACTTGGTTGTAGTTGGCTCCTATCTGCACTTTGCCTTAGCGGTAGAGTCCCACCACTATTGGCATTTGTGGTGCAGAAGGGTCAGGTACTGCAGTTCCGGGTTTTTTCCTTCGGTCTTGCATAGGTTTAACATGGATTCTGCTGTATTGTACGAGTTTTCTCGTCCCCTTGATTCCATCGTACTGTGCACAGTCTTGGACAACTGGTTACTGCTAGTAATATCTCGTCAATTGTTAGATCATCACATCTTGCTTCTACTTTCAGATACAACCCATGCAGGCTTCTCTTTCAGGACTGCCATATCTATTCTTGCTCCAGTTCAGTATGTGATCAGTTTGGATATTTTTTATTTTTCATCTCATCTCTTGGTCGCATTCAGTTGTCTCCCATCCTGCCCAACACTATAGAATAGGAGGCCACACTCTTATTCATCTCTCCTTCATCCTACACAGATGGCTCTGCTGGGAATGTGGGCATCACTTGAATCCTTTGTGCCTTTGGGATGAAAACACAAGTGATCCTTTTATTGGTCTTTAAGTGACCAGGAATTGTACACTTTTATTTCCTGGTTTCTTCAATCTCCTTAGTCTGGATCATTCTTTGATCTCGAGGGGATGTGAAGTTGGGATGCTACTACAATTTGGGTTCCTTTACTGCCACCTTGTCCAGAGTTCCATTCTCTTCATGAGTGCCTTGCTTCAGGGATGGGGTATATATACCAACAGTCAGGAATTCCAAAATATGCACATATTATGAGAATTCCCTCTACAATAATGGTTGGAGACGGCTTGAATGGGTAATTAAGAAAAACTTTAATACAAGTTTAACATAACAGCAAATGTACAAG